GACTGCGGTCGGGGAAGGGGTTTGGCGGGGTCCCCTGGGGGACTTGGGGGCGGGGCGGGGTGGCGGCTTTGGCGTGCACAAGGTCGCTGGAAGGTTCTTTCGCAGCTTGCGCCAGCCTGTGACAAGGGCAATGAATTCTGGCCACGAATTCTCGCGAGGTGACGACGAGGTCCTCGCGCTTACGTATGGTTCGCACCTTCGACGAAAAGGCTCATCATCACCACACCACCATCACCTCACTCACACCTCACCTCAACTCTCCTCAATCTCTGGGAAACCAACCATCCATCCATAAAATCTTCTGAGTCCTTTTCTGCCAAGAGGCGTTGGCCAATCGTCGTCAACGGCTTCCGTGGTGTGCCCACGTTCTCATTGGCCAAGCAATTCATATATTGGATCTAGAAACTTGAAGCCACCTGCTGCTGAGCTGGAAAATGTCAATGCCAGAAACAAAATCTTCCAGTGAGTGCACCTTGTTCCGTCGGATTGGGGATGAGTGAATCCGACCAGATTCTGCAGACAGGCGGAAATCTCCCACAGCCCCGAAACGCCGCGGATTGTCGGCAGCACAGTTAAAGCCTGCGGCCCAAATTGCATGCACAGGGTGTCAAACGCACTGCGTTTGAAAGGGGCAGTTGGAGGGGTTACTAGAACTGAAGTGTGTTGGCTGCGTTCTGATGGCAAAAATGGAAAGTGCAGATTACATCACGGCACCTTCCGAAAGCGAGATATTTTGCTTCGGATCGAGGGTCAGCCCGCAAATTTTTGCCCAAACCTGGCACAACGTACCCGAACCTAGTTACGTCGACATGCCTGCAGAACATGTCCATCTACAGATGAGATCTACGTCAGGGAAACACCCCCATCGCTTCCCTCCCTGGCAAATATGGCACAAACTTGACGCAATGCTGACATTCGCTCAATTGTGGAGGCCACCTTGCGTGTGGCGTTACATCAGCCGCAAGGGTGTACTAGGCCTCCACACCCCAAAAATACAACCGCCACCACTTTACCACACCTCGCGAGCTTGGGCATGCCCTGCAAAAAAACAGCAGCTGAACAAACCCATCGCCAAAGAGTCATATCACCTCCAACAACACCACACTTTCGACCTACTCCGTGGGGTTGTGAGGGCATCTCACCAAACCTTAGATTCTTTTTTCGTCATTTTGCCCCGAATAATGTCTCAGCTGCCATGGGGCAGCAGGTTTTTGTTGCGCAATTTTGAAATCCGCGTCTCTCTCTTTCCGCTTGCGCTCTCCACAATTTGGTCGCGTGACTTCCAAGCGAGGTTTGGAAATTGCACCAAGTTTGGGTGGTAACCAATGCTCTCGAAGTCGATTGAGGAGCTTCCTCAATGTCGACGTCGACGTCAATGTCAAATGCGTGCAGAACTCAGCCGGTGTTTGTGGCATGTGCAAGTCCCTCGGCAAACACTGAAGTTGAAACAACCTGCATTTTGGGACTCGGCAAACACCAAGAATTCTCTGATTTCGACGGCCGAGATTTGTCGATCTCGGATATACAGCTCGGTACTAATTGTAGGTCGTCGATTTGAAAGCTTTCAACTGTTTGGGTTTGGGCCGTCGGATCAGTCTTACGCTAATCGGATGGCCCAAAATTCAAGGAATTTTACCAAACCTGTTTCAGCGGACAGAACGCGATTGATTCCTCAAGCAAAACAAATGCTTCTGATTGGCTACCAGCAACCACCTCTCTAGTTACCACAGCGAAATTTCATGCTTTTGCGACATTTTCTCTAAGCTCGCTAAAACCACTACTCACGTTCATAAGCACTGCGTATGAACAATTTGGGCAGCGGGCCTTAAAGCCCGACCGGCAGGTTGCAACTATTTTTTTCTCAAGGTCATCTTGAGGACCCGTAACCTACTCTACCCGCAGTAGTGGTTGACGATATTTCAACGTCTCAACTCTGTGCTTTGACAAACTTGGCAGGCTTGCGTCCCTTCCAAGTATCGAGGTCAGAAAACACAGAGTTTTCTCGAAACTTTATCACCCGTCTTGTGTTTGAATTTCGGGCGGTTTTACTACGTGTGATTGATTGCGCACGAACTTGACGGGGGGGAGGAATTCGAGTTCGATTGTTTCTTCAATTTGACCTAACAAAAGAAATGTGTGGGTTGTTTGCACAAAAAACGCAGGCAGGAAAACGCCGTTGCAACATGGCAGAGTGGCCAAGGTGAACCCCCTGCCAGTCGACTGGGCTCGAACCTGACACCTCTGCAAGGTTGCGTAGCCCATAGGGCTCCCGCGACATTGACTAAATGGACGAAGGCAAAAATCGCAGAAACAATTTCGCCCCCTTCTTATCTCGTCAGCCAATCACTTTCTGCTGGCCCACCTACCTCAACAGTGCCAAAGTGCAACCTGCCGGTCGGGCTTTAAAGAATTCCAATGCATGCTCGATTGCATCCCGTTCGATACACACCGAAATCTCAGTTGCGTGTAGCACCATGTGTCTTCTCTAAATGTAGTTAATGTGCTCTACCCAATTCATTGATTCCACCTAGTGGTGTTGTGATAAATTCATACTTAAGCATTTCTGTAAATAGTTCTGATAGCGATTATCGAGTTACCCTATAGTTAGCATCCGTAGAATGGCGCCAGCAAATAGCGCTCGTCTGGATTACGTCAGTATGCCGTTTCAGTCACGCGAACAGTCGCGCTTCTTTCAGTAGCGATTAGAGCACATAGCGCAAATAACTTTGAACATGTACATTACCGAACATCTAGCAGATATAAAAGTAGCTTGTCTCTCTTCCATTATTAACTTGTTCTTTAATAAATTTCCGACACCACTCACAAGTTCTAAGTCTTCCGCTGTCTTACTAGTCTACCATTCCAGCAAAAATCCTTGTTCAAGTCTTGAAGTATCACAAGGTTGTAACACTGATTCTTTGCTACAACTTGTTAATACTGACTGGCACTGGAAGTACATTCAGTATTACTTTCTACTTCAAGTACGTGTGTCTGCATATTCTATACTTAAAGCGTGTTCCTACGGACCTCTTCCCAGGTATCCTCCTTCCACAATCGGCCCTCGACTGAGAGCGTGTTCGAATGTCCGTTTTTTCCAGCTAAATTGTTCTAGAATCGCGTTCTTCACCGCAATGAATTAGCCCGCGTAAAAAATCGCACTTCACTGTTTCGCGTATGTCTGACAATTTCGGGCCTGAAACGAGATTGGAAAACATGCCTTGAATCTCAATAACCCCAATCCCGTGTCACACCAATCCGGAACGGCACTAAACTGTTTCGCGTCAAAATTACGCGACACTGTAGCGCGCGAGTCTGGGAAGAGGCTGGTTGGGAAGAGGCACCGTTTTACAAATTATTACATGGTATGAGAATTATCTGAAATTAAGACTATCATGAACTCTACAAATGATTGGACCAGCATCATCACCAACAACTGGTTCCTCAACAACTGGACCCACTGGGGTTACAAATACTACAGTTTTTACATGACAAGCAAGCCATTCTGCAGCTGGAAAATCTCTAGCCGCTTATGCTTCGATTGGGATGCTTTAAGAGTAGCAATGAGTGCCTGCTGTGCATCCACCAGGGATTTCGTCCTCTGCACCTGCAACACCCCAACAAGGTTGATCGCAACAAGCAGCAGCGTCAGTAATAGCGGCTTTTAGTGGCATGAGTCTTGATGGCTCCAGTTATGCAAGAGTTGCACCTGCTCCAAGCTCGAGTTCTTCGTTTGCGTTTACACCTACACAACTACAGGAGTTCCAATTTTTACAACAACAACAAGAAGTGCAACAACAGTTTCAGCAACAACAGCAAAAGCAGTTTCCGAAGAGTATACCAGCAACACCTTCACTGAGTATACCAGTAACACCTTCACTGAGTACCTTCATATCCTATGCATCAAACGCCGAGGGTCTCTGCCACATCATCCAACAGATGGGGGTAGCGGAGCGGATGAACAGAACCTTACAGGAGAAAATGCGAGTTTTGCTAACTCAAGCTGCACTTCCACAACACTTTTGGACATACGCCTTAGACCATGCAGTTCTTCTGCACAACCAGCTGTCCACAACGTCTCTTCCACAATTTTCTTCGCCACATGTGCAGTGGACACAAACAGTTGGCAACACAAACCTTCTAAGAGTTTTCAGCTGTATCGTCCAATACTGGCCTCCGACTGCAGCACTCGGGAAATTTTCTGGACGGGCTAAGTGGGGTATTCATCTTGGCATTGAGAAGCAATTTTACGCATGGAAAATTATGGATCTTCGCACGAGTCAAATCGTACCAGCACGCGATTGTCTTTTCTACGAACGACTCACCTTACCTATTTTTCGTGCTCACCAGGCAGGCAGCAACTGCCAACCCTGCCACGCTGTTCGAAGGCTGGCGTGCTTTCGCTATCGGCGAAGCCGAAGAAGACATACATGACGAAGCAGTTGCCGAGGCTTCCGACGCAGCCACAGACATCCCCGTACCAACCACGTCAACTCGAACTGCTGGATTTATCCTACTCAGCGGAGCCGACTCTGAAGATGTCAGGGACGTTCTTCTTGCATCGCAAAAATCCTGTTTCATTATGTCTACCTTTTTCATACTATGTACATACCTGCTAGTATGTAGACAGTAGGGGTTATTGAGGCTACTATAACGTAGAAGTTGTCGTACGTTTTTAGTAGGCAACAGAACCATACCATAAAGTAATGCACATATACCTACTATTTGCGGTATAATTGTATGTGCTCCCGTATATTTATGCATCCCGTATATCATACTATTGCCTCCAACCAGGTATTACATTTGCATAGTTAACTCTATGCAAAGTCTTGGATCCTTAGTACAAAAACAGTGGCTATTTCTTGTTCTTGGTATTTTCCGTTGTAGCTACTGTTGGTCATATATTTTCTGCACAGAATATGTAAGTACAGAATCGTCCAATTGTACCCAATTAGTCACACATCAATACAGTCACATTGGTTCACAGCTCATTACTACCCCACTACACCACACAGCATGGCTGCTACTGCTTCTGCTGCACTAAGCCTGCTGCTGAAACCGACACTGCACTGCTGCTGGTGCTGCTGAAACTACAGCTGGTGCTGCTGACACTCCTGAGACTGGTGCTGCTGCTACTGGCACTGCTGCTGCTGCTGCTGCTGCTGCTGCTGCTGCTGCTGCTGACACTGCTGCTGCTGCTGCTGCTGCTGCTGCTGCTGCTGCTGCTGCTGCTGCTGCTGACACTGCTGCTGTTGCTGAAACTGCTGCTGCTGCTGACACTGCTGCTGCTGCTGACACTGCTGCTGCTCATCCATCCTTCAGCATCCCTGCCCATCCACACCAGTCATCTCCCCCTCCCCCCTCATGCCCCCATGCCCTCATGCCCATTACATGCTATCCTCTGCCTCCACCCACTCGCCCACATCGTCGAGAACTTCATGCTCCAAGGTGGTGGTGCCCTGGCTGGTCTTCCTCTTCTTGCCCTTCTGCGGCTCCATCTGGGCAATCTCGAACAGGCTCATGACTGCTGCCTTCTCCACACCATCAGGGTCAGCACCTTCGGGGACCAGGTCCGGGAACCCGCTGCCCGAGATGATGACCGTCCCCGTGGGCTCTAAAACCCAGCCCTGGTGCTTCTCGTCCCAGGCGGGGAGCTGGTCGTCAGGAGACTCCTCGAGAGTCTTGCGAATAGCCGCCTTCACCTTGCGGTGGTAGGTGGCGATGTCATCAGCGTTGACACAGGCATCTGTGGGGATACGCTTCCCCCGGGCCTTGTGGTGCACGACAGCATACTTGACCTGACAGCGGGATGGAAGGGAGCGGATGGGCGAGGGGACGGGATAGGGTGAAAGAAAAGGGGAGGGGGGTGGGAAGCCAGTAAAAATGGAGCAAGGTCAGGCCACTTATTCAAGCCAAGAACGGCAATGTGCCTTGAATAAGCATCACAGAAGGACTGCCAGGCAAAGAGAAACTACTAATAGAGGCAGTACTGCAGAGCAATTCGAACAGGCACGTACCAGGTAGAGAATGTAGGCGATGTGGTACGCCTTCACCACCATGGCCGACCCACCCACACCCTTCTGGAAGGCGTTGCGGACAATGAGGTCGAACAAGGCGGTGGCGAAAGGGCGGAGGATCTCCTCCGCAATGTGCCAGCGGAGGAGACCTCCCTTCTCTGCTCAGGAAAGCACACAGAGAGAGGAGGTACGCATGCCTGACAGGCCAGTGAGACATCATGCAAACACACACAAATGGCTGCCATGGCATTGAAACAAGTGCAATGAAATAGCATCGTACATCGCACAAGAACTATTGCTTCGGGGAGGGGGAGTGGCAAAGGGGGGGGGGAAATGAGGAACAGGGCACCAAGGCACGCTCTGGCAGGGCAGGGGGAGCGGCAGAGGGGAGGGGGACATGAGGAACAGGGCACCAAGGCACGCTCTGGCAGGGGAGGGGGAGCGGCAGAGGGGAGGGGGAGATGAGGAACAGGGCACCAAGGCACGCTCTGGCAGGGCAGGGTGAGCGGCAGAGTGGAGGGGGAGATGAGGAACAGGGCACCAAGGCACGCTCTGGCAGGGGAGGGGGAGCGGCAGAGGGGAGGGGGAGATGAGGAACAGGGCACCAAGGCACGCTCTAGCAGGGGAGGGGGAGCGGCAGAGGGGAGGGGGAGATGAGGAACAGGGCACCAAGGCACGCTCTGGCAGGGCAGGGGGAGCGGCAGAGGGGAGGGGGAGATGAGGAACAGGGCACCAAGGCACGCTCTGGCAGGGGAGGGGGAGCGGCAGAGGGGAGGGGGAGATGAGGAACAGGGCACCAAGGCACGCTCTGGCAAGGCAGGGGGAGCGGCAGAGGGGAGGGGGAGATGAGGAACAGGGCACCAAGGCACGCTCTGGCAGGGCAGGGGGAGCGGCAGAGGGGAGGGGGAGATGAGGAACAGGGCACCAAGGCACGCTCTGGCAAGGCAGGGGTAGCAGCAGAGGGGAGGGGGAGATGAGGAACAGGGCACCAAGGCACGCTCTGGCAGGGGAGGGGGAGCGGCAGAGGGGAGGGGGAGATGAGGAACAGGGCACCAAGGCACGCTCTGGCAGGGCAGGGGGAGCGGCAGAGGGGAGGGGGAGATGAGGAACAGGGCACCAAGGCACGCTCTGGCAGGGCAGGGGGAGCGGCAGAGGGGAGGGGGAGATGAGGAACAGGGCACCAAGGCACGCTCTGGCAGGGCAGGAGGAGCGGCAGAGGGGAGGGGGAGATGAGGAACAGGGCACCAAGGCACGCTCTGGCAGGGCAGGGGGAGCGGCAGAGGGGAGGGGGAGATGAGGAACAGGGCACCAAGGCACGCTCTGGCAGGGCAGGGGGAGCGGCAGAGGGCAGGGGGAGATGAGGAACAGGGCACCAAGGCAGGCTCTGGCAGGGGAGGGGGAGCGGCAGAGGGGAGGGGGAGATGAGGAACAGGGCACCAAGGCACGCTCTGGCAGGGCAGGGGGAGCGGCAGAGGGGAGGGGGAGATGAGGAACAGGGCACCAAGGCACGCTCTGGCAGGGCAGGGGGAGCGGCAGAGGGGAGGGGGAGATGAGGAACAGGGCACCAAGGCACGCTCTGGCAGGGCAGGGGTAGCAGCAGAGGGGAGGGGGAGATGAGGAACAGGGCACCAAGGCACGCTCTAGCAGGGGAGGGGGAGCGGCAGAGGGGAGGGGGAGATGAGGAACAGGGCACCAAGGCACGCTCTGGCAGGGCAGGGGGAGCGGCAGAGGGGAGGGGGAGATGAGGAACAGGGCACCAAGGCACGCTCTGGCAGGGCAGGAGGAGCGGCAGAGGGGAGGGGGAGATGAGGAACAGGGCACCAAGGCACGCTCTGGCAGGGCAGGGGGAGCGGCAGAGGGGAGGGGGAGATGAGGAACAGGGCACCAAGGCACGCTCTGGCAGGGCAGGGGGAGCGGCAGAGGGCAGGGGGAGATGAGGAACAGGGCACCAAGGCAGGCTCTGGCAGGGGAGGGGGAGCGGCAGAGGGGAGGGGGAGATGAGGAACAGGGCACCAAGGCACGCTCTGGCAGGGCAGGGGGAGCGGCAGAGGGGAGGGGGAGATGAGGAACAGGGCACCAAGGCACGCTCTGGCAGGGCAGGGGGAGCGGCAGAGGGGAGGGGGAGATGAGGAACAGGGCACCAAGGCACGCTCTGGCAGGGCAGGGGTAGCAGCAGAGGGGAGGGGGAGATGAGGAACAGGGCACCAAGGCACGCTCTAGCAGGGGAGGGGGAGCGGCAGAGGGGAGGGGGAGATGAGGAACAGGGCACCAAGGCACGCTCTGGCAGGGCAGGGGGAGCGGCAGAGGGGAGGGGGAGATGAGGAACAGGGCACCAAGGCACGCTCTGGCAGGGGAGGGGGCAAGCAATTCAGACAATGGAATGCGCCAGGCAGTGGACTTACCAAGTGGCTTGACACCATCCATGTGGTACACCTGGGTGGGGGTGTGCTCCTCGTCGCACACCAACTCGCTGTAGTCGAATTTGAGGCGCGGGTTCGCCTCACACGCCAGCCCAAATGCATCAGCGAAAACCCGGCGCCCGAACATGGAGAGCCGCGCTCGCCAGTCGTTGGGCTTCCGCTTCGCAGAACCCGCACGCGCTGGGCAGTACATCATCACTGCCCCCAGCGCTGGACCCTTCGCCTCACCCCACACTCCAATCAGGCACTGCATCATCAAGCTCTCCGACGGGTAGATGCTTGACTGGTCGTCAGGCTGGCGGAACATGGCGACAACCACAGCGAGCTCCATTTTTTTCTGGTGGCAGATACATATACAGTACAAAGGCGGATGAAGGAGGTGAAGAAAGTAGAAAAAGGAAACTGGTGAATCTCAGGGCAACCGAAGAGAGGGGGTGCTGGGGGTGAGGGGATTGGTGGGCGAACAAAGTTGAATAACCGCAACCATGCCTCATGATCCCCATCCCCATAGTCCCCTCCCCCAAACATTCTCACACTCAATTCCCACTCATTTCCCACACTCCCCTCCCCCAAACAATAGCACTTACGTTCCATGCCTTCCCATAGGCTGGCAGCTGCCGCATGAGAATCTGGTCCCTGAGAGGAATACCGCTCAAGGAGGTGTGGAGAACCACATCGCAGACCTGGCCGTTGTCAGCGACGGTCGGGTAGCTGCGCTTGCGCGACGCACCGAGGGCGTTTTCACGTGCAGCATGCAGATCGGTGGCCAGGGATTGCGGGAGTCCTCTTTCGCCCGACCGAACAGCCGTGCGCTGGGATGTAGGCACAGAACGCGGCGCGCCACTGGCGATCGGAGAACCCACAGCATGTCCACTTGCAGCCTCATCCTGCGTGGAGCCTCTCGCGGCGTTGACCTGGCGCAGAAGGGACGGGATCAGCTCCGTCTGCTCACGCGCAGTTCGCTCCAGATCGGCGAGGCGACCATTGGCTGTCTGCGCCACAGCGTTGCCCGTTGCTGCCGCACGGACTCCCTCCAGCGGACTCTGAGCGGGGCTTGGTGTCGATAGCGCTGCCTCAGAGCGCGCGGCGATGCTGTCCATCGTGTCCCGGCGAGCCTCGCCTGCATGCATGACCACAGAAAAGGGATTAAGTAGTTGGCAGAAACAATGCACTGCTGAAAGCGATATATGCATATGAATGCGGAAACCAACAGACCTAGGGTTAAACAGAATGTGACCAAACGCAGCTCGTACAATTGTGAACTTACCCGACGGTTTGATGGGGCGAGCACCTTCCTCCTGCCTCGGAGCCCACTGTTCCTCCTCCTCCTCATCACTAAAGTCGTCCGCATTCAATTGGACGCCCATGGGTGCAGCATCGCCGACCTCGCCACTAGGTTCAGCAACAGCAGTCGGAGCAAGGCCGACCACATCCGTTCCGGTCTTAAGAGCAGGCTGATCGTCGCCAACCGCGACGGTTTCCGGGGAGTCCACACCTCGCGTATTGCTGCCACCGACCGCCTGCAATGCACGGCCGCCAGCGATGCCACCACGCCGCACATTGCCGCCACGCAGACGACTGCCAAGGCCTCCCGCGCCAAAGAATGGCAAGCTGGACGAGTGAGTGCAGGCCTATCTCTCCGCCATGCCAGATTGCTCTCGCAGAAACCTCACCTTTCCCATGTTCTGTCTTGATTCTGTTGACTGAACCCTTCCTCCCCTTCCAACACTAATGCTGCAAAACACGACGTCCATCTGAATGCCGTCAAGTCATTCTTGCATTGGTACAAGGCCACATTCCGCCCCCGCTACCACACCGACAAAAGCCTGGCAAACGATGACCGATTGGCACACATGTGAGACTGCATGGCCTGTCCCGACCATATCCATTTAGTTCCTCCCCATATCCCATTTTTTCCGCCCATATCCTCTCATTTCCTGCCCCTATCCTTTCTCTTCTGGCCTTATCCTCTCAGTTCCTTCCCATGTCCTCTCTATTCCGCCCATATCTGGTCAGTTCGTGCCCATATGCTCTCAGTTCGTGCCCATATGCTCTCAGTTCCTGCCCATATCCTCTCTTTTCCGCCCATATCCACTTAGTTCCTGCCCCTATCCTCTCTTTTCCGCCCATATCCACTTAGTTCCTGCCCCTATACTATCTTTTCCACCCATATCCTCTCAGTTCCTGCCCTTATCCTCACTTTTCCACCCATATCCACTTAGTTCCTGCCCCTATCCTCTCTTTTCCGCCCATATCCACTTAGTTCCTGCCCCTATCCTATCTTTTCCACCCATATCCACGTAGTTCCTGCCCCTATCCTAACTTTTCCGCTTATATCCACTTATTTCCTGCCCCTATCCTATCTTTTCCACCCATATCAACTTAGTTCCTGCCCCTATCCTATCTTTTCCACCCATATCCACTTAGTTCCTGCCCCTATCCTCTCTTTCCCGCCCATATCCACTTAGTTCCTGCCCCTATCGTATCTTTTCCACCCATATCCACTTAGTTCCTGCCCCTATCCTATCTTTTCCGCCCATATCCGATCAGTTCCTGCCCTTATCCTCCAGTTCCTGCCCATATCCTCACTTTTCCTGCCCATATCCTCACTTTTCCGCCCATATCCACTTAGTTCCTGCCCCTATCCTCTCTTTTCCGCCCATATCCACTTAGTTCCTGCCCCTATCCTCTCTTTTCCGCCCATATCCACTTAGTTCCTGCCCCTATACTATCTTTTCCACCCATATCCTCTCAGTTCCTGCCCATATCCTCTCTTTTCCGCCCATATCCTCTTAGTTCCTGCCCCTATCCTCTCTTTCCCGCCCATATCCACTTAGTTCCTGCCCCTATCCTATCCTTTCCGCCCATATCCACTTAGTTCCTGCCCCTATCCTATCTTTTCCGCCCATATCCACTTAGTTCCTGCCCCTATCCTCACTTTTCCGCCCATATCCACTTAGTTCCTGCCCCTATCCTCACTTTTCCGCCCATATCCACTTAGTTCCTGCCCCTATCCTCTCAGTTCCTTCCCATATCCTGTCGTTTTGGCCCATATCCACCTAGTTCCTGCTCATATCCTATTTTTTCCGCCCCTATCCTCTCTTTTCCACTCATATCCACTCAGTTCCTGCCCTTATCCTAATTTTTCAGTCCATACCCTCTATTTTCCGCCCATATCCACTTAGTTCCTGCCCATATCCTCTGTTTCCTCCCATAACCTCAGTTTTCGCCTATTTCCTCTTTGTCCCGGCCATGTCCTCTCAGTTGCCGCCCATATCCTCTATGCAAGGCACTTCGCCTTAATCGTTTGGGTGTGTTCTTTCTGGCTGAGTTGGTGACAGCTTCTCAAACCCATTACCCAACCCCCCCAATCACAATCTTCCCACCCCCCCCTTCTCTCCCCCTGCAGGATGTTCGTCAAGTTGAAGGCAACTTTCCCGAGCCAGGCCTATGTCCAGTACTATGAGCAGGTTAGGGATGACGGCGTGACAGGTTGTAAGGCGCTCAAGTGGGCAACATTCCCCGGGACTCGGAGGTTGCACCGGGACATTGTTGATGTGGACACCATCTATCGTGCCGTCCATGTTGTAGAGTCCTTTGAGAGGCGTGGCATGTTTCTGCTGAATGATTTTTTCTTTGATTGATTCTTACTAAATGTGCAACCTTGTTCTCCTTAAGCAAAGTATAATTCGATGAAGTGATTAGGATAAAGACTGTCAAGTTTTCAGAAATTGTGCTCTAAGAAGCATAGCCCTTGAACTATATGAAAGAACCACAAATATTAATTTTCAAGTATAGACAAACATATTTGAATTACAGTGTATACAATTCGATAAGTTGAAATCTACGATTTGCGCAAGCGATCTCGCCTACTGTTCGCGTGACGAAGAAATCGCTACCGAAACTGGGTCCCTGATTTTTGCGATGTGATTACGAGCGTGATCGCCAGCAGCAGCCCATGCCCATTGTCTCTGAACCAGCCATCGATGTGACACCTGGCGAAATTGGGGGGGGAAAGGGGTTAGAAAACAATTTCTATGGTGTCAACTCCAATCGTCCTCGTTTTACATAAATTGCGTTTCAAGTATTGGGACTCGCAGTCGCAGTACATGCTTTGACTAGTCCACACGGTCCATGGACCGAGAGTTAGCGGCTCTGGAAAAGCGAGGTACCTGGGATTTGATCCCATTGAAAGAAGTCAAGGGGAGTAAGGTACTTACCCGCAAATGGGTTTTTCGTGTGAATACGAACGCTGACGGTTCCTTTGAAAAATTCGCCGCGATGGGTTGTCCTCAGATTCGAGCAGACTTTTGGACTCGACTACGAGCTAACTTTTGCTCCCGTCGGTAGACACACTAGTGTCCACATCCTACTCTGTGTCGCAGCCTGCCGGAATTTCAGACTTCGTCAAATCGACATTGCCAATGCATTTCTATATGCACCCGTTGATGTATTAATTTTGGTTGAGTACCCCCATTCTTACGAAACTAACCCTCCAAGCGTCTGCCGTCTCAGAAAATCCCTCTACGACATCAAACGGGCTCCACGCCTGTAGCAGCAGTATCTACACGCTCAATTAATAACTGCCGGATTTCGCCAACTGCACGACTAAGGAATGTATTTACCTACCGACGGTCTTGACTACATTTTACTCGTCGCTTATGACGACGACTTACTCTACGCTAGCACCACCGATTCCCACGCTACTGCCTTCGAACAAAAACTTCAACAACACCTACAAATGACCATTACACCTACTGTCACAAAGTTTCTCGGCCTAAACATTTACCGCACACCAACTGCTATTCATCTTACTACTTCAAAGTAAGCCGCAACACTAGCCGCACTGTTTCACCTCACACCTTCAACAGTCACCAGTGTCAAACATACATAAATGTTGTTACTATAGGCTAGATAGGTGCGTACCCATAGAGGGTAAAACACCTTAGCTTAAATTCCTTGAAACCCATCTTTCTAGTCGACTTGCTAACTCTGAGATGGTATCATGCGCTAGGTTAGTATCATCCTCCCCCCCCACCTGCGCTTCTGCCCTCTTCCCTCCCCTGACCGCCCGCCTGCGCCTCCCCCACCTGTCTACGATCCTGTGTTTTCTCCGCCGGACTTGTCTCCAGCTCGTTTTCCCCCGCGTTCTCCTCCTGTGTCTCCTCTTGTGTCCCCTGACCCCACACCTCCGTCCCACTTCTGGTCTCGTCTTCCCTCTCGTGCTCGTCTTGTCTCTCCTGTCCAACGCTCTCACCCTATTTTGCTTCGTTCCCACGTGTCTCGTCCTCCCCTCCTCCCGTCTCCTCCTCCGTCGTCCTTGCCTGTCGCTCCGCCTCCCTTGTCTGAATTCCTCCGTGCCGCTAGTCCTCTTGTTCCTCGGGTCCTCGCCTCTCTTGTTACCGACCCCTCTATTCCTCTCTCTAGTCTTGACGCTCTTATTGCTGCTGTTACCAACGTTGCCACTACCCGCCGCCTTGACTACGCCACAGCTCTAGTCTCTGACCCTGCTCGTCCTCCGTCCGTCGGGGGTGCACCTGCTCTTGCCAGTGACGTCCTAGAGGACAGGCAGTTTGAGTTAGCATTCCTGTCTGAGGCCTCGCCTCATCTCTACTCCATGCTGCTAGTCCCTGAGGGGGACCAAAACGTCAAGGCGCGCTACGTTGCTAGAGGCTTCAATCAGCGCGAGGGTGTTGACTTCTTTCAGACCTTCGCCCCGACCCCGAAGATGACTACTCTTCGCATGCTCCTACACGTATTAGTACACCGTGACTACGAGCTGCACTCTCTCGACTTCTCGACAATGTTTCTTCAGGGCAGTCTGCACAAGTAGGTCTACCTGCGTCGCCCTCCAGGCTTCACCGGCACCTTCCCCCCGGGGACCCAGTGGCTCCTCCGGCAGCCAGTTTACGGCCTGCGGTAGGCGCTCTGTGAGTGGCAGGACACACTGCGTGCTACGCTAGCTGACCTGCAGTTCATCCCGTCGTCTGCAGACCCCTCACTCTTCATTCGGGCGGGCCAGACCCCATTCCACATCCTTGTCTGCGTTGACAACCTGGTCTTCGCTACTGCTAAAAGAGACGTATTGGCCTCCGTCAAGGCCAAGCTGTTGAGAAGACACACTTGCACTGACCTGGGAGAGCTGCACCACTACCTTGGCCTACAGATCTCCAGGGACAGAGCAGTGCGCACCATCACTCTCACACAGTCACACTTGGTGCGCCAGGTCCTCCAGAGGTTCAGTCTTCAGTTCTCATCTGCAAAACCCACACGTCTGCCAGTAGACCACAGGCTCTCTGCTCCAGTTCCTAAGGAGTCAGTAGAGCCAAGTGGTCCTTACGCAGAGCTTGTGGGTTGCCTCGTATACATGATAACTTGCACTCGTCCTGATCTCGCATACCCTCTCAACATCCTGGCTCGCTTTGTGGCACCAGGCAAACACCGGCCACAGCACTGGTCGGCCGCTAAGAGGGTTTTGCGTTATCTAGCAAGTACATTGGGCATGGGTCTAGTGCTAGGAGGACGCAGGCCAGTGGTCCTTACAGGGAACACAGACGCTTTGTGGGCAGATGACACTGAGATGCTCAGGTCCTCCTAGGGCTACTGCTTTAGCCTTGGTTCGGGTGCCATCTCGTGGAGGTCCACTCGCTCGTCATCTGTTGCCCAGTCTAGCTGTGAGGCTGAGATCTATGCCGGTGCCATGGCGGTACATTGGCTCCACTGGCTAACTTTCTTGCTCACAGACTTAGATGAGCGGCCTAGCTCTGCCCCGGTCCTGTACGCTGACAACAGGGCCATGATCCTCCTGTGTCAGGAGCCTCGACTGGAGGGCAGAGCGAAGCACATCCAGTTGCGGTACTTCTTCCTGCGTGAGCTACAGCAGCGCCGCCAGGCCCAGGTAGTACACTTGGCCTCCGGTGCCAATACAGGTGATATCTTTACGAAGACGCTTGCGCCAAAAGATCATCAGCGGCAGTGTGTACAGCTTGGTCTAGTTCCTTTAGCTTCTCACTTGCTAGGACCTTGATTGTATACTATATCATATATTACCTTGACTGGCCTTGTGGCCCCTGTTCCAGTGGCTAGACTAGTAGTGTCGCCCTGGGTTGCTCTTGTCTAGTTTGTACTCTTCCTGGCTGGTCTTCGGGCCCTTGCCTCAGAGGTTGGACTAGTAGTGCCACCCTAAGCTGCTTGTCTCTTGCTCGGCACTGCCCCTTATCTAGCTTAGGGGGTGTGTCTAACATACATATATGTTGTTACTATATGCTAGATAGGTGCGTACTCATAGAGGGTACAACACTCTATCTTATATTCCTTGTACCCCATCTTTCTAGTCGACTTGCTAACTCTGAGAACCAAACCTTACCGATCTCTGCCTATGGATTACAAAATCGATACAACTCCACTTGACAACACTGAACTACAGGTTTATCCGCACCAGCTGGATTGTCTTCTATTCGCAGCTGTGCACATGTCGCCCAGATCGCGCCTATGCCGCTAGCGAGCTCGCGCAATATCTTCGTCGAACTGAGTGGGAGAATCGGCTAGATCTTCTTTGCGCCCTACAATAATTTATTTCGAAACCTGAAGTCGGACTTACCTACCACGTCGCCACTACGATAACTCTATATCTCGACGGGTATGTCGATGCTGATCATGCAGCAAATAGTTTTAGTCGACGATCTCGCACTGGCTTTATATATCGTCTCAAACCTATCGGGACCATCTTCTAAAATTTTGCAAAGTAAGAGCTCATACCTCTCTCATCTACTGAAGCCGTGTCTATAGCTGCTTGCACAACTACTCGCGAAGGTCTCTCTACCTGCAAGAGCTACTGGAGGAAGCGAAATTGACGACAAGTACACAGTTCACCCTACAGTGCGACGACCAGAGTGTGATCAAAATTGCACACCAGCCTGGCTTCGCCAACAAGACCAAACACATTTCGCTACGATACTTCTTCGTCAAGGATGAGATCGAGAAGGGGAGGATGCGATTGGTCTACTGCTCGACCAATGAAATGGTTGCAGATTTTCTCACCAAGAAGCTGACACGTCATAAGATCCAGTACTGCAACGAGCTCTACAGAATCATAAAGAGGTAGCTCTATCGGACTTCCGGAAATGAAGGGGAGTGTTGTGATAAATTCATAATTCAGCATTTCTATAAGTAGTTCCGATAGATATTATCGAGTTACACTGTAGTTAGTGTTAGGAGAGGGTTTAGCTAGGTAGGAGAATTAGCGAGAAAAAAGAGGGTCGACTAGGAAAGAGAGAGAGGTGCAGGAGGGGGGTTGTCCTCTCTACAGTGGGACCCAGAATTGTAGAATACCTACAAAGCCTACACAAATATATATATATATGTATATATATATATGTATATTGACACACCCCCTAGTCTTGTGAGGTGCAAGCACACTACACACGCAACACCCCCAAACCCTTGCACCCCCATGTCATATAATAGCTGTGGTCTCTACCCCCTTGTGCAAAACAACGACATCGGCGGTGGGTGGCAGCAACGACGTTAGCGGCAACTACGACGACAACAGCGGCGGCGGCAATGGTGGGTGGCGGCGGAGCCAGCGGCACCTGCAGCGGCGGCTTCGACGATGGCGACGGCGACTGCGAAGCTTGCGGCTCTCGGCGGCGTGGCACGGCCCAACGACGTGGAGGAAGGGAGCCATCAGCTGCGGCTGGGATGAGAGGAGACGCAAGGGAGGGGGCGTGCCTTCAGCGAGGCGCCCTGGCTGACGCGCTAGCTAGCGTGCGGATGTGCTGGCTGGCACCTAAACCAGTGCGCTGGCCGCTGCCGTCCGTGCGCTGGCGCATCGAAGCTGCCACGGCAGCACGACGATGCCACAGCAGCGCGACGAGGCCGCCGCGGCAGCGCGGCGAGGCCGCGCAGCAGCTCGG